GACGCGTTTCAGAAAGGCGGGGCATAGAGGAGAAACAATAATGTACAGTATGTGGAAAATAATGTTTTTTTTTAACCTTAATCCGCATAAACACATTTCATTACACCAAATACACAAAATAATGTTCTTTTTAGCAACATCATATGACCCCTTTAATAAGGTTTGAAATCAAGCTACGTATCATAATTTACATTGACTGCTGCTATATCAATAAAATCACTTCATCCACACATTGCAAATAGTGATAACCTGCAATTGTTGATATTAAATAATATTTGTGACTTGAATAAAACCAATTAATATAGATAGTTATATCTCATACCTTTTTTTCAGTGCACTTAGGTCAAGAAATATAAGAGTAATACCTCATCACCTTTCAGGTAGACTGGAAAGTTGGCAAAAATTATTATTTCCCATATTTCAAGTGGCTGACCATAATGAAATAGAAATGCATCAGCTGTTTAGTTTTAAACCACACAATCTTCAAATATTATGGATATTGACATTTAATGTCTTGAGTTCTACTGCAAAAATGAATTAATTGTCATAATGCTTGATACAGAAAACAATGTCTGTCATCAGCTCTGTAACAGTTTCACCTGCCATTTCCGGTGAGCTTTCAGAAATCACATTAAATTTAACAAGGACAGACACATCAAGGTGGGCTTCATAATGTCAAGTCTTTATTGGTCATGTGCCATACAGCAGTAAGATAATTACTAAATAGAAATTAAATCAACTACATTCAGCTCCTAAAGTTTTCAGTCATCAAGTACACAGTGGCCCCTACACATTAGATAGCAAACAAAGTCACATTCTTAGCAGAAATAACAGGTTAATGCACACACTGCCAGATTCAGAAAGCTGCTGGTGGCTTAAGGCAATTTTTTAACCAAGAGCATTCATACATAAACAGTAGCATGTTTTAGATGGATTGTTATGTATTGGTGTAAATGTGGGTTGACTTTTTATGGAGGGATGTTGATTGCACATGCATTACAAAAGTTTGGCAGTGCAGTTTGAAATTCTCCTTCAAACTGCATTGTGTCACTATGCTTTCTGCAATCTCCTTTCGCTCTCCCAAAAATAACAGAGCAAATACCAAAATGCTCAGAATATTCATAACAAGGTTACCAGGCCTAAGGAGCATCTGTGAGAATGTAAAGACAAAATTCCAGATTTGCCTGACATTCCCTCGCAGCTAAGCATGCCAATGTCACAGTGTTCATCGGAAAAAATGATTCCAATATAGAGAAAGAAATCCATTCACTTCGGTTCCCATCATACAGTTCTTAAAGTGAATTAAGCCCAACAATATCAATCTGTTCAAACTGTCTATAGAAAGAGTGCAGCAAGGCAGGCTTACCAAAGCCATGACATAGAGGCAAGTGGTATCAAAACCTGGCAGTGTAACAGAAGTGTTATGAAATTATTTCACTAGCATTACATTTTAATATGGTATAAGTTTACCAATGGGATTCATTGTTGACCCATGGTTAATGGAGGTTCACTGTGACAGTGACTTCTTTGTATGAGAGTACACTAGATTCAAGTATGAAGTTTAGGTGTTTGAGATGCATTGTGAAAAGTTGTGTTAGTGACTGCGTTTCCACAATGTAAATGTGCTTCAGGCATCCACGAATATACAAGTAAAATATTGAAAAGTGAATGCATTTTCTAAATTCTAAATATATACTGTTACTTTTCTTAATAAAGTCATAATATTTGTATCATCCGCCCAAACACAACCAATTCTGGACTCACACTATCTTTCTATTATTCTATTATTTCTATCACAATATCTTTCCCAGTCATTCCACCATATCCTTTCACTCTGACAACTGATATGAATGAGATGCCGTTTACATACATTTAAGTGCCCTGACTTGATTGACTATAAAGTATTTGTCAGAATTTGTATTAATCACAAGCATTTAGCAGCATGTGAAAGGCTTCAGCAGTACTGTGTAACATTTTGCTCTCAGTCTTGCCCATTGGCTGGTGAACTAATGCAGCCTTAAGTACTGAGAGGGATGGCAGGTACACTGCTATGAAAGTATAGGTACACTTCTGTTGGACCCACATACAGTCACCATGCAAAGAGCAGATACACCTCATGCAGTGAGGACTTGCTATTAGGCTCAAATCCTTGTCCCTTTTATAGGGCAAGTGGGTGAGACATGTTTAAAATGGAATCAAGAGCAGTCTTGGAGAGAAATTTGGCTGGGTGGAGTGTTTTCGAAACTATGCATGTATAGTTCCAGATTCCTGTTTTTACTTATTTATTTTTTTAGCATTATGAGTATACCGAAGTTAACTGGAGTCAAGAAACAGATGCAATTCTGATGCGATGATACTCCAAGATGCCATTGTTACTAGGGCTGCCATGATGCAAAGACAACAATAAATGACTGGCTTACAGCTTATATTGTAAGACAGAAAATATTATTGCAAGTCAAGTTTTGTGCTGGCTTTTGGAAAAACTGCAGCATAATAAGCTACCTTCACCAAAGCTAACCACATAGACATTTCCTTAATGCAATGTGCTGAGAGAAGCCTGTTATAGTACAGTTAAAAGTGACGATAAGGCTCACAGTGCAGCCCAGGAATATATGCAGAATATATGCATCAAAGAGTGTGTATTGAGTAGTTAGTGGTTTGCTACAGAACAACTGCTGCCCCGTGACTGAGTGGGAGGTGAATTAGTGGAGAATAAGTTGAAATTCGCTAGATTCCTCTCTGAGACCCCCTTTGTGGAGGGGAATTGCTTGGGAAAAGGAAGAAGAGGGTAATGGAGAAGGCAGAGGGAGGAGAGGAAGAAAGAAAGAGGGTTGAGACATTTAGTTTTTCTGGTTGGTGGGGTTGTCACTCGTCTTGGAGTCGTCAGACTGGGAGGAGCCTTTGCCGGGTTTGCTGCTCTGCTGATGTTTGTCGTCATCATCCTTGACCTCCTTCTTTCCACTAGCGCTAGTGCTGCTGTACATACGGGACAGGTAGCTGTAGCTGGACACTGAGGCAGGGGTGGGGTAGGTGATCCCAGTGCTGATACGTGTCTCCTCCCCTTCCAACAGTTTCCTGAGATTGATAATAAATGAGAAGGTGAACAAAGAAAAGGTGGTGAGGAAGGGTGTGGTGGATTTATGGTGTAAAACAGAATGAAGAGAGAACAATGGAATACATTTCTGTATAACATCAGCTAATTCCATGAAAGAAATTCTCAGGATTTTCATTTTAGGTCACATGTACAGTATGTTGATAAAGAATGTACAGTATGCACATTTCACTAGCATTCACTTTCACATATCAATAACAAACATTGCTTATTACCTGTAAGCAGCTATCTCTATGTCAAGCGCCATCTTGACATTCAGCAGGTCTTGGTACTCCCTGAGGTGACGGGCCATCTCACTCTTAGTGGTCCTCAGCTCATTCTCCAACTGCCCAACTGTATCCTGGGTGATGTTACATGATATAGTTATAATTAAATTCAATAGAAAAACTGCTGCATTTACACTGAATTACTTGATTTGATGATAGAAATGTTTTCATACAAAGGTTCCAAAGGGAAAATTTAGTAGCGATGCAACAGAAGAACCATTCTTTGTTCCCCAAAGAACCATTAAGGGAACAGTTCCTACATCATTTTTCTTAGTGTAAAGAACTAAAGATATAAAAATCCTTAAAAATCTATTTTTTTCTACTATTGAGAACCTTTTGTGGAATGGAAAGGTTTGATGGATGTTAAAGGTTCTTTATGAAACGATTGATGTCAATAAAGAACCATTAATTTTCAGACACTGCACATGCATTGCAGAAAGAAAGAAAGAAAGAAAGAAAGTTTACAGTAGGTTACTTTTACAATGTAAATTTGATGCTTGTGGAAAATGGGCTAAAGCACTTAGATTAATTATTTAGTGACACTTTGTCATCATTATTTTGATGATAACTGATATAGTAAAAGGTTTGGAAATCTTTTATATCCAATATAGGCTGTTCATTTAATTTAGTCTGATAACTGTCTGAAGTCATTTTAGCACCATGGACAGAGAAGCAGTAACATTCCAAAGTCACTTGCTGTGGTCACGCCCATTTCACAGGGATCTTTTGTCTGTTGTATAGTTCACAGATGCATAAGTTTCAAAGGCTAATTAATCGATTTTTAAGCCAAATACATAGCGATTGGTTGTTTTAAGAGAAGGTGAATATTTGCAGTGTTTTTAATCATTTTAAAGAAGTGAAAATCTTTACCGACATGCATGCAACTCAATTGAACACGCGTGCAAAGTTAAAATTGATTAAACCAACCTGGTAGCCCATGACCTCAGCGTTGAGCCTGTCCTCCATCTCATGAATCTGCCTTTCCAGCGATTCATTGGTGCCCTTTAGGCTTTCGATCTCGATGGTCTTGGACTGCAGCTGCCTCCTGAACTCGCTGAGCTCTTCCCTGCTAGCGCGAATGACCTCGTTGCTCTTGTTGGCCTGTTCGCTAAGATCGGCGAACTTGGTCTTATACCACTCTTCAGCGGACTGCAAGTTCTTATTCGCCATAGCCTCGTACTGGCCGCGAATCTCCTTGAGGGCGGAGGTGAGATCGGGTTTGGCCACTTCCATCTCCACTGACACCTGGGAAGCCTGGATCATGTTCATGAGTTCAGTTACCTCCTCCTCCTGCACATTTCTCATAAAGTTGATCTCGTCCAGAAGGGATTCGACCTTTTTCTCCAGGTCTAGGCGCACCATGGTGGCGTTGTCCACGTCCTTCTTGAAAGCTCTAAGCATTTGCTCAGCCTCCTCGCGCATTCTCATCTCCTCCTCGAACTTCTCCTGGAGTTTCTGAATGCCCTCCTCCATGTTGTCGCGCTCGAACATCATCTGGTTCTTCTCCGCGTTAAGTTCCTCGAGTTGGGAGCGCAGCTCTCGGATCTCCTGCTGGTAAAGTTCGGCCAGACGGGACGGTTCTGTCTGGCGCTGGCGCAGGGTCACGAGTTCGGCTTCCAACACTTTGTTGTGCTGCTCCAAATTGCGAACTTTCTCGATGAACATCGCGAAACGGTCATTGAGTCCTTGCATCTGCTCCTTCTCATTGGTACGGGTGATTTTGAACTCATTATTAAGTGCTGTGCTCTGGGTGAAGTCGAAGCTTTCCAGAGTCAAGGATGAAGATGGAAAGGCAGATCGGGTGGTGCGCTTGTAGGTGCTGGGGATGCTGGTGCGGGTCGCGGACTGGGACTTAAACCCGCTCCGGGAGCTGCTCAGCCGGGATGGAGAGGCTGAGTAGAGGGTAGAGTCTCCGAAGATCTTCCGGTAGGAAGAGGCAGAGTAGATGTCGGATCCGTAGCTCATCTTGGCGTTTTGAAGACAAGGAGCAGAACCCAGGCGGCGTCTCCTTTTTATAGCAGGACCGTCCCAATCAATAATTTACCCGTGCTGCTCCTCGCATTCAACCTTCCTTACTGCAGATGTTTTAGATGGACAGACCCCGAAGAAATGCGACAAATAGGCTAAGCTGATCTGTAGGTTATTTTTAACTTTTAAAGGCGCAAAGAGTGCTTTTTGCCCGTGGAAGGTGTGCTCAGTCTATCAGTGAAAACTCAGGTCGGCAGCAGCGAGCGGGTGGAACTGTCCTTTTTGGCGCAGCGCTGATGTCAGCAAAATATCATATCGTTTATTTACTCACTCATACACCATCACGACACATCTATGAAGAATTCCTACCACCTCTGAAAATAACACACACTTCAAGAACACACATTAAAGACATGCCATTGTGATAAATTTTGTATCATCATCATCATCATCATCATCATCATGATCATTATTATTATTATTTAGAGTAAAACATAAAAAAACAGTAGGCTACAAGAGCAGTAGGAAAAAAATCTGGCATCTGTGGTTGTAAGAAATAAAGTGATGGTGTTACAAGCATTAAGCATGGCAATTATATTTCAATTCTGCACATGTAATTAAAGCATGTTAATAGATCTGTTCCTAAAATAGTTTGTGTGGAATACCAAATAGTTATAATGCAAAAATTATCTGAGTTCAACTGCTATAGGTACAGGAAATTCTGGGAATGCCCCTTTTTCTGTAGCCTAGCAAAAGTAAAGCGATGATTTGTTGCTTAACCATCATATTTTAATGGCCAGTAGGTTAGGCCTAATATACATCTTTATCTGTAAATTTGTAGGTAGCCTAATTCATACTTTGCATACTGCGGCATTATTATTTTTTTATTATTTAAAATTATTAGCATGTGTACAGTGTAGATTAGAATAATAATAGTTTACTTTTGACCGTTTTGATCTGTTTTGGTATATAAATGCAAGAATTTATCGTCTACACAAACGTCGTGATTTTAGGCTAGATACATATCAAACAAAAATCACAAACAGCCTATCGTAGATTTACACTTTCAATAGTCAGTAAAATGTTAAATTTGACACTACTGTAAAAGATAGGGCTACACAGTAAATATAGCCATATTGTATGACAGCAGTTATACAGTGCTGCCATCTGTTGGCCGCTTCGAGATCTCAATAGATTAAAGGCAAACAAACAAGGCAAGGCTTGGAAAACTTTCCATGACTTGTGTGGCCTTCAGATTCAGACAGAATTTGCGATACCCATTCCTTTTTTTTTTCTTCTTCTTCTTCTTCTTCACATGAAAGAGATACATTTTCAAAACTCCTAGTGCAAAACTCCAATATGCATGTAATCTATTCAGTGTGTTATCAAAAGGTGCGATGAACGTGTGATGGTCAAGGCTTTGTGTTATATGAGTTACCATTAGTAGCCTAAATGTTCTCACTGTGCCATATGACTGAATCTACTCTAGTTGGCCTTTTCAAACGAAGCCTTCACCCGGGCATCTCTAATCAATCTGGACACACAGTCAATGATTGTTTCTTCTCCCTTCTACTCTGTCCTGTTATATGTTCACAAATTGCAAATGTTTTTTTCTCTTTTCTCTCTCTCTCTCTCTCGTTCTCTCTCTCTCTCTCTCTCTCTCTCTCTCTCTTTCTATCACACACACACACACACATGCTTTGAACACTGTGGTTTTCATCAGAGAAAAATCGCTTATAAGCTTTTAACGAAAATGTTTATCATATTTGGTTATCCGTTTCAGAACAAGTTCTATACAGAATCTAGAAATATAGCTGTACCAATGATTCATTGATTAACAATTAAAGGGGACATAACACACACAGTTTCACCCAATCTCATGTTAATCTTGAGTACCTATAGAGCAGTACTGCATCCTTCGTATCTCCAAAAAGTCTTTAGTTTTATCATATTTATAAAAGAAAGATACAGCTTTACGATTCTCTCCGGAAAATGCTGAGCTCCTGGAGGCGCGCCGTGGGCGGAGCTAAAGAGTGACGAGCACTTGTGCTGATCGCCAACAAAACACAAATTTGATGCTGTTTCACTTACCGTCTGCAGTTCTGAATCATGACCGGTCTCTTTTATAGCTGGGACCGCTCCATCTTTCAGTATCAAACAATGTGCTAATCCAGCATTGAACTGGGCCTTGTTTATAAAACGTTCGTCAACACACAGGCTTGTGAAACTGCGTTGCTGCTCCGGAAAAACAAACTGTATCCACTGTTTACATAACGTTGGGTTCTTTAGGAAGCTGAACAAAGTTATCTTTCCCTGCAACCAAAAACACACTTCTTTGGAGACATTCTTCCCGAGCGAGTCCCGTGCAGCGCTGCCGCTGGATGAAGCGCGTTGATGGGCACAATCTCGCTCTCACTCTGGTCGATGTGTGCGCGGGCGCGCGCTTCCGGGAGAAATGCCCATATAAGGAGTTCCACTCTCATCTATGTCATGAAGAGCCACGATCGAAAAAAACTCTCCGAAACTTGTATGAACCCGGAAGTAAGATTTTTAGTACAGAAATACGCCGTCATATGTCCAAATTGCTTTTTTAAATTTTGTCCATGCTTAGCATAAGAATCCAACTCTTTAACAGTGTAAACAACTCTGAATGCATGAAACAGCATTGTGTTAACAAAATGTGTTTAACAAGTGTTACCGAAATTAGTTAGTTCTAAAATTAGTCATGAACTAATCAGGAACAATAATGTCATGTCAATGGCGCCCATCAACTGTTCGGATACTAACATTTTTCAAAATATCTTTTTATGTTCAACAGAATTAATAAACTCATACAGGTTTGGAACAAGTGGAGGGTGAGTAAATGATGACAGAATTTTCATCCTGAAAGTGAACTACTCCTTTAATTTAAATACTTTTTATTCAGTTATTTTAATAATATATTTTTTAAATGTTTTATAATTTATTTAGTGAGATAATCTTACTTTAATTATTTATTTATTTTTACAATTTTACACGGTTTTTCTCTAAACTTTTCCACAGACCTCCTAGCACTACCTTGCGGCCATTGTCATCACGGCTACTTTAAACAGCTCCATTAATCCTTTAGCCCAGTGGTTCTCAACTGGTTTGGCCTTGGGACCCACGTTTTCCCACGGTTGTCAAGCCGCGACCCACTTATATATATATATATATATATATTAGGGCTGTGTATCACCAGCAAAGTCACGATACGATACGTATCATGATACAGAGGCCACGATATGATACGGGACTGCACTGAATTTATTAAATACTGCATACCATAGGGCCATTGCTAACTATTGGCAGAACAGGCACTTGACCAGTACGAGTTATATTGTAATGAACTCATTCTAATATATTAAAATCATCTTAACATTGCTGGTAGCTTATCATTGCACAAATCAACACACTCTCTACGTTTAAAAAATAAAAATAAAAATTAGAAGAGTTCTAAACTGCGCTGTCTTCGTGGCTGTTTACATGCACAATTTTTGGTTCAATCGGACTGAATTCATGTCGATTTATGAATCTGAATGTAGTGTTTACATGAACGCTAAATAAAGTGATCGGGTTGATGTAGATAGAATAGATTTTTTTTTTTACATGCGCGCACTGCACAAATATAGAGTTTCTCACTGTTTGCACATAATAAACACTCCCCTACACTGTTTCTTTAATTGTTTCTAACAGCAGAATTAATATTTATCCATTTATGGAGGGGGGTTAACGGAAAACAAACTACTTTCAGAAAAGAAACAAAAGGGTCGCTGGTTACTGTTATTTAGGTCAGGTCTTCTGTCACACTTCTACTGTGTCGGAGCAAGGAGAGAACGAGGACACAGGAGAATCAGCATCACAAACTTTATAGCAGGGAAAACACATGTAGAACAAGGAACTGACGTTTAGACCTGACAAACACAGACTGAACAGACTGGGGCTTAAATACACAGGATAACGAGGGACTAATGACAAGACACACCTGAAATCAATGAACACAATCAACACGAGGGAGAAATTAGGTCACGCAGCACATTAGGAGAAAAACAGAACAAACACGGGAACACAGGGCTGACAGGATGATTCTAGGCTATTAAATTAATGTTCCACTAAATTATGCAATCTGAAGTGTTTTTGAGCGCTCTCTCCTGTCTCCCTCTCTCCCAAAATGATTAAAAATAAAATAAATTAATTAAAAATACCCATTTAATTAGTTTTTGTTTTTATAACATATGATAGCCCAGTGGTTCCCAATCCTGGTCCTGGAGAACCCCCAACACTGCACATTTTAGATGTCTCCCTATTCAAACACACCTGATTCAACTCATCAGCTCATTAGTGAAGACTCCAAGACCTCAAATGTGAGTGTCAGATAAGAGAGACACCAAAAACGTGCAGTGTTGGGGGTTCTCCAGGACCAGGATTGGGAACCACTGTGATAGCCTATAGGAGTTAGCCTATCATACAAACAAGAGTCCTGTTTTTCCGAATATCTGCACGATCGCAAATGTACAATAAACAAGTTTCTAAGTATCTTTTAGACACAAAAAATTTAATTTTTCTCCATCAAAAAGAAAATAGAATAAACAGCAGAACCGCATCACCGAGCAACACAGTGTTTTGTTCCTCAGCGTTACACGGACCAGTAAATGATTCAATCAGGCTGTAAGTACAGTTGTTTGCGAAGTTAAATGATTAGCATTTTAAACGAATCAGTTGATTTAAGTATTCAACTCATTCATCAAGACATTTACTTGCCACCTACTGGCGGTTGTAGTTTCATATTTTAAAAAGTAGGCTGTAGCTTATTATTTCATTTTTGCAATCATTTAATATTTCTACATTAAAATGTTATATTTAAACTTGACATAATTTATGCAGAATCTATCTATGGATTTTGTTCATAGTGATTTCATTTGATTGTTAATAGCCAACATGTCGTTTTATTCGGATTGAATTTATTGATTAAATGTAAGAATCTGACAAAAGTCAGTCTTTTTTTTTTTTTGCCCATTGTAATTTCAGGGTTTTGATCTCTCAACTGAGAGAACACATCCTGTTTGTTGTATTATAAGGACTATTTAATATTTAATCTAAACTTTGACTAGGCTAGACATATGCATATTAATTGTACTATATAGGCTATGAACCTCAAAGCATATTTTAATTTTTGAGTATTTTGTGTTACTCCATAATGATGTTCTAGCTGAGGGCATTTGTAGTGTATAGGTATAGGGCCCAAACATAACCTCAAGTCCAGCGGCCCCGGACCCCAGTTTAAAAAACCCTTATATGTTCAATCGGCTACATTAATCAAGATGGCCGAGAACTTTTGTTAGTATATTTTAACTATTACATTAACTAATGTTAACGAATTATGGTAAAGTTTTACTTTAAACAGTCAGGCTAAATAAAAAAAAAATAAAAAAATCCTGTAAACAATGAGCTGTCAGTAGACCAAACCATCTTCAAGAGGTTGACTCGCCTTCACATTCCGTCTCTGACGTGTGACAGATTTTGCTCCGCCTCCTCTGGATGTCAAGCACCGCCCAGTCCTGCCCCTCCACAACTGCTTACAACACGGTTATGACGACGAGCTTTTAATTCCCATTAACAGACTCACAGCTTCACTCGAATACTGCAGTGCATTCTGTTGATTAATTATTGATATTTCCCGAAGTGTTTACAGCGCTACCAGTGCACTTGAGCTTTTGTGTATTGACGGAAGGTAAGTGAACGAATAGGCTTGAACTTACAGCTGTTGTTGTTAGTGTCAGTGGTTTGTTTGCATGTCTCTTTGCCTGTCTTCAGCTTGAAAAGATCGGTGATGTTTGATGTTTTGCGCGAAGATGTTTATCACAGCGCTGTGTGTATTCAGCCAGTGTCTGACGACCTCCAATGGAAATATATTTTACACGGACGTAAATAAACAAGATACCAGGCGCGATACCGAAAACATCAAAACTGTTTGAATCAAGCTCTGTTTCAGCCATTTTCAGGAAAATTCTGTGGCTGCTTACCAGTCAGCTCTTCAAACATCCTCGGGGGCTTTGTCCTTGTTTTTCAGCTGCTGAATGTAACTTTTTGTGATTTATGACGTACAAAAAAAGCACCTGAAAGTGCAAGTCAGCAAACTGGTTCAGGTCTCATGTCTATAAGAGTAAGTTTTAGTCTCCACTCCAGTGTCTTAGGCTACTGCTACTTATCAGTAAAATGTTGTAAGGAGGCTATATCTTGGCACAAACCATGTTTGGATATTTGTTAATATCTAATTTGCACTATTTGTGAAATATTGCTAAATATAGAGATACCCGCTGAAAAGTTACCAAAACCCATCAACCTTCAACTTCTCTCATGACAGCTGAACATCTTGCCAATATAAACAAATACATTTTTTCCCCCTTTTTTCTTTTCTGTGTGTCTATTTGGTGTTCAAGGACCAAATGCACTCAAAGAAAGAAAACTCTTCTTTCTCCTTCTGGTTTTCCCCAAAATTTAGATGCAAATCAGCCTGATAGACCACAGTGAGCCATTATAGCTGCCTGCTTGGAGTATTTTTTATTTTTTTTCGTATTAAATGAAAGAGTTTTAACCTACTTTTTTTTTTTTTTTTTTTTTTGGTTGGGGGCTTTTGGGGGAAAAAAAACTAAAAATTTGTGGATGGAGGCCTATTTTTTTCTGTTGTTTGTCCTAAGGGTCATGTATTTGAAAAAGAGTGAGAGTGTTTTTTATTTTATTTTTTTATATGCTTGTATTACAGAAGAGAATGATGTCAGCACCACCTAAAAGTCTTTTCAAACCCTATTATCTCACATCCCCTTTTACCTCAGCATAACGATCATAAAATAGACGGGTAGTGGGAAAATCTCCTTCCTTTGCCCTTAAGGTCTCCAGCTTGTTTGTGCAAGTCAGCCTTTGTGAAGGCCACCGGCCTCAGTATGCTGACTCAAGTTTCTATGCTGCATATCTTGCTTCAATAGTTAGAATTTTCTTAATTTTTGTGAGATGTAATTTAACTTCTTTCAAGAGAGAGACGGTAGACAGTATCAGGTTGTGTGTTTTCTGGTTGCTTGCCTGCATTTTGTTCACGTACTTGAACCCTTTCCATACCAAAAACCAAGTATTTCAAATGCAGAGGATGTTTGTATTGGCAAGCTAAATTGGAAGCATAGTATCTTTACCAGAAGTTGTGAAGACGTAATAGAAGACTTAATATTTGTCAAACATTTCAGTCACGAAATAGATTTCACAATGACTTAGTGGGCTTTTCTTGTATGAGAAACAATCAGACAAAGTGTTACAAGACTTAATGCTATCTGTTTAAATCACTCAGATAAGCAAATCAAGTCGTTATTCTTGTCTTTCTTGATTCTGATGCAATTAGATTAGAAGCAGGCACATAAACAGGCAGAAGCTGTGTATTGGCTTGTTTAGTAGGTGATAAAATCTACAGAAAATAACTAATCCAATCTAATAAATCTGAGTGCATTCATGCTTTAATGTGATCTTTTGGTGCCTAAGACAGATAAAAAATAAAATAAAAACATTACTCAAGGTTTTTCTGTTTCTTTCTTTTTTCTCAAAGTGTTTAATAGATCTTTTAAATCTTTCTACAGACTCAGAACTGAGAGATTTAATGATGACGACATCATGGAGCGATCGACTTCAGGACTATGCAGATCTCCCAGCAAACATGGATGGACTAGCGATGAAGAAATACAGGAGAGAGGCCTATCATAGGTATATCAGAAGAATAGACTGACTGTATAATAACTGTGTTTGGGTTGCTAGGCTTAGAAAGAAAGATTTGTCAGTTAGAATACAGAGACATCATCTCCTCAAAAGGAAATTGCATTTTGTGTGTTATCCTTAATTCTTTCTATTTAGATAAAGTGTCGTTTGTTTGCAATCCACTCATTTTAGAAGAGCCCATTGAGTCTAAGAGTTTATAATAGTTGTCACTAAGCATTCCATACTCCATGATTTTATGTGTCATGTTAAGAATGTAAGCAACTCTGTCAAGAAAAGATCCTATTATTTAGACAGCAGCTCCTCTGGTAAATTAAAATAAAGAAGAGAGTTACCTAATTATAGGCCAAACCCTGCAGCGTTGTTTTAAACTACATAGTGAACATGGGCACATGGTGACTGAGGAACATAGAGAAGCTTGTGCAACCCCACAAATATGGAATTTGCCATGCAGTGGCATTATGCAATCTTCAGTAGATAAGAGGGGTGCCATTCGGTTCTTCACAAAAAATCTGCACCTTTAGCACACACCGTCACTTGTGGTATTAATCCAACCGAAGGTCACTTCTGTATTAGAATGTAGTTTACTCTTTGTACTATACGTGAACTTTGACTTTACATTTCTCTGTGCTGAAGCCAAAAGTTCACTGCCTTGTTCCATTACCCAGATAAGTGTGTTTAGATAAGGAAAAGTAAATGTCATGTGTCATGGCAGGGATTCCATTGACCATACAGTCTATTTGAGGTCCAAAGGCAGTGGTTATTTCTGGTGTGTATGTATGTATGTAGTGAAAAACGTGTTAACTCTGTGGAACGTAGTGGTGGAGCTATAGAAAATGAAAAGAATAAATAAATAAAAGAATACGGTCCCGAAAATTGCTCAACCCTCATTGCTGTGTAGAATAAAATCATGTTTCTTTTAAGGCAAGGCAAGGCAAGTTTATTTATATAGCACATTTCATACACAATGGTAATTCAAAGTGCTTTACATAAAAGAAATGAAAAAAGAATTAAAAAAATAATCACAACAATAAAACAAGGAATTTAAAACTTTGAAAATTATTTATACATTGATTTAAGAGGTTTAAAATGAATTTAAAACAGTTAAGAATAGAAAATGATTATACACAAAATATAGTGCAATCAGTAAATGCACAGCTAAACAGGTAAGTTTTGAGTCTGCATTTAAATGTGACTAATGTTTTAGCACATCTGATCTCTTCTGGAAGCTGATTCCAACTGCGGGCGGCATAATAACTAAAAGCGGACTCCCCTTATTTTGTGTGAACCCTTGGTATTTCTAACTGACTCTCTGCTGGTGATAAAGGCATGAACATTCAAGTTTCTCCAAGTCTTGACTGGAAACAAAACATCTAATTCTTGCAATATCTTAAGGTAAGTCTGTTTTTGAAAACTTCCAATCTGCTTATCAAGATGACATTTCAACCAGTGATACACAATTTCCACACCCAAAAACAATCAGCTGCACCTGAAAAAAAAAAAACATTTTGGACAAAATATTTTGGAGAGCAATCATTGACCAAAAGGATTCTAAAACAGCAATATTTAAAATTTGTTCAGAAGAAATATCAAGAGACAACAATATTCAACAATATTGTCGTTGAAGAGCTTAACTGCAACTGGTTTATCACCTGAAAACTTGACACCCTAAACAGCAAACCAAGTTCAATTACTCAATTACCTATTTAACCAAATTGAGCTACCCAAATACATTATTTTTGGTTTGTTGGCTTAGTTTCGGTTTCTGTGTTTTTGTAACAAATTTATTTTGGTGCGTCCCTATTTTCAACTAAATGTTACTAAACAAACATTACTTAATCATTTTCACATGCATGTTTCTAAGTAAACAAACTTAAAAAGGCAATTGGCTCTTTTAGCTGAAAGGCAGGACTTCCCATTTCTACATTCACCATAATTTCTTCCATTCATTTTTATATGAGAGGTTCGTCTCCTCCCCTTTATAGTGTCTCTGGTACAGTATAAGTAGCCTATTACAGAATCGGGCAACAATGAAGATCCATTTGAGATACAAGAGTAATCTGTTTACCAGCTGTCTCTAACTAGTGATGCACACTCTGTTTGAGCCACTGCACCTGCCTGGTTCTTCCTGCTGTTGTTGATTGTTCTAGATGTCTTTGAAGGGAAGCAAACAATCCCTAACTCAACAACTGACACAAAAACAGAGAATGCTATAGAACTGGCATAATCATTTTTGCAACAAGTCAGAAATTCAATGACAAGAAAGCAGAGAGAGGGGGCTATTGTTTGCTGTGGGGGTAACAGGGTGAACAGGGAAATGGGCTTGACAGACCAGCTAGAGCAGTGACATCCACTCAGAATGCAGCGCGCAGGTCTTATCTGGAAAAGTGAATCATGGGATGTAGTCCAGTGTTATGCCACAACAAGGTAGGATTGATCAAATTAATAGTTTTTTTATGGTAATAATGATTTTCTTTTTAATTTTTTTTTATTTTTATAGGGTTGTAAAATGTTTAATACAGGCCTGACGATTCTGATGATCATTTCCGATTTTGTTTTTTTTGTGTGTAGTAAAATATATTACTTTACATTTATTCAGCTGCTATATAAAAGTTTAGAATTTATTTTAAGTTGTTGAAATTGTTTCTTGCTACAGTATAGACTTTGAATCTCTTGTAAAACTATGAATACAATGGCAGTTTGTGGTTTATCTATGTCAGTATCAGATTATATGCATGCACAGAGAGTGATTCAGAATTTCCTTTGTGTTCATATCGTGGCATTAGATGTCATTGCTTGTGGACTAAAGCATAGAGTTGTAAGTGTGCAAAATAATAATTGCAGATCACTCAGCATGTTGGCCTCGAGTATGGGAGTTTATTTATTTCTTGGAATGCCATACTGTAGTAGTTTGTAATATTTTTTTTTCTGAAAGTCAACCCTTTTTTCCTGAAATATAAGTATCTTGAGAAATGTTATTTTTTTTAAATTAAATTTTTAATCAAAATTGAGAATTGCAGAATATTGCAACCAAATACACCTCTGAATGTTTCACATTCTTCCCCAGAGTGTTTGTGAACAGAAGTCTGGCCATGGAAAAGATTAAATGCTTTGGCTTTGACATGGACTACACTTTAGCAGGTAAGGTGTTCCCTACTTTCTTTGATGATTACGTTTAAATGTTCACAGTCCAATTCCCACTTTGCGTCTACAGCACTAGGAATGTGCCGATTTCTGAAAAATCTCAGAAGATCTGTCCTTATGTTTGGGTGCCTCTTGGAGCCAGTAACACTCTTGCTTAGAATGTCAGGGTAAACATACAGTAGGGTTCTTCAATATATTTAGCCACTCCTCGTCTGGTTTTGGAGTCTGGAAAATCGAGGTGATGTCCCGTGTACACAAAGTGCCTCATTTTATGTGATCTAAACCCTGGAGTTTGTTTTTGGCTAGGGGCTTAGTTTGTTGGAATGACCATTAAAATAAACAAGCCACCATATTTACATCTTAAATTATTTATGATATTTAGGTCAGCCAAGAACCTGAAATAAGAGAGAGTTTGGTTCTTATGGTCAACACTGTAACATGGATCAGATGCATTGGGTTTCTGAAATCCCTTTGCTTTCCGTTATTGGTCCCAGGTCCCAGGGACCTTATCGCCAAATGACTACAGCCCCATTGACTCCCTCTGCCAAGGTTCTCACTAACCAGGATTTGGGCCCTGAGAAAGCAGATCAGTTATTTGACAGTTAGAATGGATGACTCTTTAGAGTTGGATAACATGTCTCATAGCCAGCAGCTAATATGGCTTAAGCTAAATTCTGAGGACACTCAGCTGTTGACATCCTCCACATTATAGCTGGCTGTAACCAAGTGCAAATGTTTACAAGTATGAAGCTATATTGTTTCTTATCCTCTGATCAAGTTGCAACCACAGTTTAGAGGTCCTGAAAAATCCATAACAGTCAATAACAGGAAACGGACAAAAATTCTTTGGCAAACATACCGTAGTCTTACAATCTTGAGATGTCTTTTTAGCCAACTAACTTTTGATCATTCTTGATAGATAGCTAAATGAGAATTATGTTATCATTTACTCCCTCTCATGACTTTCCAAACATGTATGCAAAAAGAAGAATGCAAAAGAAGAATGGTTTGAAAGTCCTAGGTTTAAAAAAAAACATTGAGACACTTTTCAAAATATCTTCTTCTATGTTAAAATAATGAAAGTCATACATGTTTGGAATGACATGGTGAGTAAATGACAAAAGTGTTTCATTTTTGGGGGGTCAACTATCCCTTTTAAGGTATAATAAATTACTTTTTTTTTTTTATTCTCTTTTATTTATTCCATTATGTTATACTCAAAAGCCTCTCAAGACAAATTGTCACTCTTTACTCTTGGATGAGACCAATTTTCTTTTTCTGTGGCTCTACAATAGAATATTAATAGATGTTAGCATTTATTGTTGATCTTAAGTCCAGGCTTTGAGAAGCATGAAACCAAACCATACAGGGTTTAAGACCACTTTCCAAGCCCTGATTAATATTTCCTGTTGCTTATTCCATTCCATAATTAAATCCCCTTTGTGATTGGGACCAGCATGCAAGATAATACCCTGCACGTGGACAGAGCTGTGGCACAAACTCTCTATCTAAGCTTGGTGTTGACAGCTCTTCAACCTGACAGTCCATTAAATCACAGATGAAACCCGCCACCTCTGCATTCTTTGAATAGGCCAGATGTGTTTTTCACAGGACAGAGAAATAAAACGCTGTTTAAATGGTATTTTAACTTCAGAATGCTTCCGATTTTTTAATCAATTTATCAAATTAAAGGGTAACACTTTACAATAAGGTTCCATTAGCTAATGTTAGTTAATGTATTAACTAACAAGAATAAACAATGAACAATAAATTTTTTACAGTATTTATTCATCTTTGTTAATGTTAGTGAAATTACAGTCGTTCATTTTTAGTTCATGTTAATTCACAGTGCATTAACTTATGTTAACAAGCACAAGTTTAAATTTTAATAATGCATTAGTAGATGTTGAAATTAACATTAACTAAGATTAATAAATGCTGTAGAAGTATTGTTCATGCTTAGTTCATGTTAACTAAAGAACCTTGTTGTAAAGTGGCACCAATTAAATACTTGAGAAATTTAAAAAAAAAAAAAAAAATCTTTAAAGTTAAATCTTTAAGGTTGTATATAGGGATGCACAATATTAGATTTGTTTTGCCTATATTTTTCAACTCATTTTGGCCGATAACAGATGCCGATACCGATATATTTCCTTTTGCTTGGAAAAAACACCAAGTCTCTCCTGTGCAGAGATTATAAACAAATTATATTTAATTTTGGTTAGTTTTTTACAAAAACTTACTTGTTAGATAAAAAAAACAAAAAACAATAATGAAGTTTTTTTATAATGAGAGTTCATTGAAAGCTTTGAAAATAACTATAAATCAACTATAAATTAATCGCTGCATTTTTTTTTCTCTTCAGACAGATGCAGTGGTAACCGTAACATTTTATTTGAAGATTTAACATTTGTAGATGGTCTAAAGCATTAGAGATTCTGAAAATCCTGAAAATCTTTTAGAGCTCCTTGTATTTAAGTTTGTATAATCTGTTTGGAAAAATATATCACACATTAATGAATAAATCTGTACATATATAGTGATTTAATTTACAAGTGACATGTTTGTAGTTTTTATTCATGTAAGCTATAGCTTCTGACCTTTAAATCAAAACATACTGGTGATTTTATGACATCAGTTACTGCTTTATTTAATCAGAAACACAATCTTAATGTTATTTGTGTATTTTGCTTTCATTTTATTACAAGTAGACCAACAGCTCCCCCTAAGTAAATAAAATGCCGTACTGAACGCACATTAGGACCTGGGGGAGGCTGCCTGCCGCTGCTTGTGCACTAACTGATGACTCTTATCATACAACAAACTTGCATTCTCAGATTAAATGCAGCAATCCAAAACAATCTAATCACCATTCAGACAAAAGTTTGCTTCAAGAATGACCACACTGCTGACGTGATCTTATTGCTAACACACCCAGAGCACATGTGAGTTATTCGTCTTATCGGCAAGGCATATCGGCATAATTTTTCATATCAAGCCGATGTTTACATTTTAAGCCTTTATTGGCCCACTTCTGATAACATTGTGCATCTCTAGTGTATTCTGTTGTATAAAAACCTGAAGTCAAAACCAAAGTCAACCAGAGGCTTAAAGGAATACTCCACCCCAAAATGAAAATTTTGTCATTAATCACTTACCCCCATGTCGTTCCAAACCCCTAAAAGTTTCGTTCGTCTTCGGAACACAATTTAAGATATTTTGGATGAAAACCGGGAGGCTTGTGACTGTCCGATTGACTGCCAAGTAAATTACACTGTCAATAGTCCATCTGCCATCAGTGGTTCAACCGTAACGTTAAGAAACGACGAAAATACTATTTGTACGCGAAGAAAACAAAAATAACGACTTTATTCAAACGTGGAAAAGTGATTAATTACAAAATTTTCATTTTGAGTTGGAGTATCCCTTTAATGCAGATAAAGCATGTTAGTTAGGGAGAGCTTGATGAACGGACTGAGGGGTCGAGGGAGTTTGTTTACCTTGCAATATGATACAAATTTTATTTTCTTGCTGAAGGTAATCTGAGCTATGAATTCCAGCCTGACATCGTACCCTCATTCTGAACACACATGCATATATAATATTCTATCCATGAATGTATGGAGAAAGAAACATGAATCTTCATGGTCTTAGTGGCCCTAGGCCGACACATAGGTCATTGCAAACAAGTTTGGAGCTACAGAAAAATACAGAAGTATTTAAAGTTTCATGTAGTGGTGTAAAATAAATTTTCTTAATAATCAGTTTAATAGAGTGTAGAGCCTCAGTGTAATAGAGTGGACAAGTAGGACACTTGTTTGTGTCATACAGAAGACTAAGGCATAATTTAGCTGGCGTAATAAAATTTTACTGCCTTCAGTAATATTGGAGAAGAAAGCTCAAAGAAGGTGTCAGCTTAAATTGGTGATGATGAAGATTGTGTCTTGCCGATGAAAACTCTGTTGAAAAGGGAGTTTACTGGTCTTAGCTGGTCACCAGGCAAGGTTTTGGCCACAGACCAGATAAACGAGCTTAACAACAGCTTTGCCAGGTTAGCAAACCATGTTTGGTTGGTTTAGGGCAGGGTTCTCAGGGTTTGAAAACCGCTGAGGAATAACTGTGATTATTAAGGCTGTAATGTAATTAAAGAACTATATAGTCTGTTGTACTGCGTGTTTCAGAGTGAAGAGTGGCACTGTGTTCATTTACACTTGTGCAGTTTGCCATGTTTTTGGAGCGGCTCGATAAATGCTGCTTCTCACAAACTCACAAAAAAAAAAAGTTTGTTTAATGTTCATTTGTGAGTATAATGTGCTCTATAGGTTCACTTATTTACATTCATATTCACATAATTTCCAATAATAATAAATAATAATAAAATCTTGAATATTTGCCATGTTAAAAGCTTGAGGTTTTGAACGTTTGAAGACATAAATTAAAAAAATTTAAGACATAAATATTTGAATTGTGACTTGAAGTGTTAGTTGGTTCTTGTACAGAGTGAACCCAAATGTGAACACCCTTAAAAGTAACTATTTACATTAGCAGTAATTGTTTCGTTAAATTATTGAAATCTCAGGGGCTACTTCAAGTAGATATTTTAGGTATTTTATGTATAAGCGGTATGGACAGTATAATTTTCCCATTTTATATACATGCTTTATTATGAAAAAGGAGAAAAAGATTTCATAATGTTGACTAATTGCTGGCTAATAGTTGATCAAATCTAGGTGAGGCTCCTTTATTTCACTTGAACTGTAAATACATTAATGGTCATGTTACCTGAAGTTTGATCTGTATTTCACAGCAATGCATACCTCATAACCTTTTTTTGTCAATATAATCATAAACTAATTTTACCTCAAACTTTTACCCAGTCTTAATGTAGGCCACATATAATGAAGTATAGACTGCCAGCTGTAAAACTGCCAACAATATTTTCTTTTCACCCTAGCAGAAGTATGCTAGCTCAAGGCCAACATTGTCCAAGGTCAACACTGGTGTATGCAGTTAAGCAAAGAGTGATGATGGGAATAGTGACTGAGAGGGAAAAAGAGGCTCAAAATAGGTTTCGCTGTAGCTTCGTGGAACATCATAGGGAGGAGAGAGAGAGAGACAGAACTGGAAGGGGCAGTTGGGTTTGTGTACAGCTGCTATCTGTGTGGATGTATCTGGCCTGAGTTAGTGACTCTGTTGGGGTTTGCTTGCCTGTGTGTGCCTGTACTTCTGGCCTTGGCTCTCTGGGGGATTAATTTCTATCTGCCTCACACTCCACAGCCTGTCTGTCATACAGCTGTAGATATACAAGCCTGGAACAGATCGTGAAACTCACTGGAGGCAGTCCTACAAATAACTTACTGTAATGTCTCATATAACTGAAAGATTGTGATTGTGATGTCATTTCGATGGAACTGGTAAAACTAGCCTATGATAGTCTGTATGGATTAGTAAAATAACAAAGAAATCAATAGCTGTGGGAAAAAAAAGAAAAACACTGCTGCGGCTTGTACTATAAAACACAGCATTTTGGTCAAATGTCAACAAAGGTCTAGGACAGTGTGTGGAACCATTGCTATTTTTTGTTATATCGAATGTGTCACACCTGTCTGTGACCATCAAGGAATTTATTTGAAAGAGGAATTTGGCTTTGAAGAGGGAAAGAGGGAAACTGAAAGTGGGAGACTGCACAAAATAGAACAACTGCAGATAAAAAGGTGTTCTGAAGGACCATAACAGAATAAAGCTCCTCCTTTTAGTGAGCTTATCTTGACAAACAATGTTCAGACTTGCACAAACACAAGCCTATTATAGAAAAAAAGCATTCTGGCAAAAAACAAACAAACAGGTTGTTGTGGTCAAACATGTCTCAGTCTTCATTAGCAACGGACCCAGGAGTTCACCCTGAGGCACTCCTCTTCTTTTCATTTCGTACTCTCAAGAGATCCTTCTGGGTTTCTGCCCTTTGACCTGCCTCCTCATCAACAACAAGCATAACACATTTCCAGCTCTTCCATAACAACATGTGACGTGAGCTTAAGTGTGTCTGTGTACAGTTTAGTAACCCCCATCTTTGCTGAAGCTGTTGTTCTATACATGTCTGTCTTATTTTAATTTCTTCTTCAATTGGGTGTCAGGCTGGAACAACAGATTTTGTGGTTAGGTCTTGCGAAATGCCTTTTGTTGCTGAAATACCACCCAAATCCCTCTGCAGAGGCTTGGGATCTAATTGGGTTTAAATCTTTTAGGGCAAGTGGGTCCGGTTTCATACTGGATTAGATCACAGGGCATACATGGCCCTGCTAAGCCTTTGTAATGTGAATGTTCTGGTACACTTCGCTTGCTCTGTGAAAGGACAAGGTTGGGGTCCACACGTATCACAGAGAGTGTCTTTAAATACAACACTCGCGCTGCCATGTATGCATATTTATGTTTTATTTTTGGTCAGTTGTTATTGAGATCCCTTCCAGAATAAACTCAGTTTGGAGGGTTTTACAGTTATTTCAGCCACAAATATTAATCATTGTGCCAATAGTTATTAGTAAATGAAAGAATTGTTTGGGCAACTAATCTTTTAGTATGTAACAAAATACAGAGCCCCGCACACTTTCAGGAAAAGGTACAAAACTAGGAGGGTAACCTTTCAAAAGGTACTAATATACACTTTTAACTTAAGGTACTAATATGCATCATTTAGTGGTAAACTAAAATGTACCATTTAGGCTTTGTGCCTTAGAGTACCACTTCAGTGACAGCTTTGTACCTTTATTTCTGAGAGTGCACATGGCATGCAGGGAAAGATGGGGAATCACAAAAGGGATTCTTGTTTTAGTTGAACCATGGCCACATTGTAGTAATTTATTCCCTCGTGTACTAATTCATTGTGGCCACAATTTAATTAAATTAAACCTAGGGAACTAATTATTACAAAGTGAACACGATTAAACTAAAACGAAAGAACTAATTAGAACAATGTGGCCACAACTGAACTAAAATGACAAAAAAAATCTTAATTTGTGGCCACAATATCCTTTTTTTTTTCTTCTGCATGTCATGTCTGGGGCTTGTAGCTAGTTTTGGACCCCATTTACTGTAATTGTAAAAAAATTTACAAATTGGCAAAAACAACACATCTCAACAATATGAGGGTGAGTAAATAATGAAACATTTTTTAAAATGAACAGTTCCTCTATGGTACATTAATACTTATTACAAGACTGTACAGGATGTAACAATGGAATTATATAGTAGTCTGTTCATTTTATTTGTGCTGTTCAATATATCTTACTGAATATCTCTCTATCAATAGTATACAAATCACCTGAATATGAATCTTTGGGCTTTGATCTGACTGTGGAGCGGCTGGTCTCCATTGGCTACCCGCAGGAACTGCTCGGTTTTGTTTATGACCCCACTTTCCCTACAAGGTAATAAACTCTCATTGGCAGACCATATTTGAGACAGTTGTCTGTACCAAGACTATCATTTGATATTATGTTTATAGGATAAATAACACATTTAACCCTTTATTTTCTTTTTGTTTTTACAGAGGTCTGGTGTTTGACACCATGTATGGCAACCTCCTGAAGGTAGATGCTTATGGAAACATCCTGGTGTGTGCCCATGGCTTTAACTTCCTGCGAGGGTGAGTAATCCCGATCCCCGTCAAGCCCTGCCTGGATGGTCTTGGTTACTGAACTCTGATGAAACCGATGGAGTATGTGCTCATAATGTTTCTGTGTCACTGCCAGCCCTGACACCCGAGAGCTCTATCCCAACAAGTTTATCCAGCGTGATGACACAGAACGCTTCTACATCCTCAACACACTCTTTAACCTTCCAGGTAGGCACTTTATCATTGTCCTATACGTAGCCCTGTCACTGGCTGTCATTCAGATACACATTAACAGTGGCTCTTTTTAACTCTTAATGCTTACGTGTGCATGAGGAGTGTGTTTTTTATTTTAAATTCCTGAGTTGCTTCCTGAGAATATTTGTTCTAACTAACGGCCATGTATATAGTCTTCAGAAACAGGTTGTAATTGTATTTGTGTGCAGTTATTCTTTTTGGGGTTTTTTCTTTCTTTCGTACAGTATGACAGAGTAATGAAGTGATTCATTCTTGGTGATTCAGAGATTCATGCTTGGATTGAAATTTAAGGTCATAACTGTAACACATTCATTACATTTAAAGCAGGAAATTAATTTTTTCATTCTTTTGTGTTTTACTTATCTTTTAATAAACTATGCTATGATCCAACTGAACTTGATCAATAATAATTGCGCATTATGAGAGCATATGGCAAAAAAGCAGCTTTGCCATTTTGTCTGGAAAAAAGGCCATGTGTTTGGAATGACATAAGGTGAGTAGATATTGCCAGAATTTTCCATTTAAAGCAAATTATTACTTGAACTGACCAAATGACATGAGAGTTTTAGACCTTCTTACCTGCAATAAGGTAAGTGCATTTTTTTGCAAGATAAAATATTTTTTGTTGCATTTTCAAATGCACTTTCATCAAAACTGCTTGTGTAAGTTTTTTTTTATGTTACTAAAAGAAGTCTCTTATGCTAAACAAGGCTGCATTTATTTGATAAAAAATACAGTAAAAATAGTAATATTGTGAAATATTACAATTTAAAAGAACTGTTCTCTATTTGAATATATTTTAAAATGTAATTAAGTTGACTTGAGAAAGCCAACTTGCTGAAATGCTATTTTAGCTTATTTTCGTGGTGTTTGCCTATAAGGCAAACCATCACTATTGTTCTCTTGCATACTTATTTTTAGTGGTGCATCACTATTGTTCTCTTACTAGGGTTGGGTATCGAAACCCGGTACCAATATGGCACCGGTACCTATGTAACCGGTATGTACTGGAACCGAATAAGAACGCAGATTTCGGTGCTTCATTTCGGTGCCATGTCTGAGCGATCGATTGAAATATTTATTATCTGGTTCTCCGAAACGGACGTAAGAAGCATCATCACCGTCACCACACGTGAAAAATAATTTCACGACTGAGAAAATGCACGTGAACTCAAGTCGGAAAGCTCTAATAATACAAATCCAGCAAATATTTGTAGTAAAACGAGTGTCCATGTTGTTTTCACATTCCGACTTAAAAGCACAACTCGGGAAATGAGAGCATCAGAGGAGCGTGTGAATGCAGTAATTACACTTGCTCTGATGGCAGCAGGTAGCCTTCCGTTAACTAAGCTAAACATGCTTAAATTAAAATGCCTAAAGCTAAACCTCCCTTGTATTCACATTTCTAAACCTGTTGTCCAACAAAAGAGAACATTATAACCTTTTTACTCCACAACACCAGTCAAATGCTTCCTTCTGTGATCTGATGTAGCTTCTTGTCAAAGAATGAGGCAGAAAATATGTTCCATAGGCTACTTTAAAAAGAATACATCCATTAGCAATGGATTATAAATATACTTGATTATTAAGAAAATGCCAGAGATGGCTTGAATAGCACAGATAAACTATATTGTCGCAGGCGAGTGTTTATTCTCTTTGTTTTATCATTCAAAACATTTATATGTTCTGTTTACTCAGTTACAGCTATAATAGCAATGCCTTTGTCCATATAAGGGATTTCCTGGAGGGTGATGAGTTCCGATACTTCTGTGACTGGATATGTGGATTTTCTGTGCGAAGGTGCCCTCTGGCGTCCAGTATGATTGAAACAGACATCATGTGTTTATAGTGCTATGGCCAATCAATTTTGGGGGGAATTTTTATTTTATTTGTAAATAATTTTTTATAAGTATCGGTTCAGGCACTGTTTAGGCACCGGAACCGTTTTAAAAGTATCGATTTGGCACCGGTATCGAAAAAAAAACAAACGATACACAACCCTATCTCTTACATACTTATTAAGATCTACTGTTTAAGCTTATATTATTAGAGTGGTGCTTGCAAACTATGCTGTGTGTTTATTATTATTTATTTATTCTTCTTTTGTACAAATTTTGGCATGTAACTCGTCCCGTACTGTCTGTCATAGACCCATGAAAGAGGTGTCAAATCATGCGGCTTATTGAGGAGAAGTGTGCGTTTAATTTTGTAAGCGATCGGGCATGTGATGTTCTCACAGCATGCGAAAAATCCCATAGACTTTGCATTGCGGCCAACTTTGACGGTTCGTAGCGCAGAGCGAGAATTTCATAGAAACATGTGGGTCACCACATTTGAAGAGGCTGGCAAGCTATGCGTGAACATACCCCGCAATGGGGTATAAGTGGCCCCATAGACATACTATGGTAAGGGATGACCATGAAACAAAATCTGAGCACACGTTTTTTCTACTAAGGTAAATTGCATAGGAATTTTGCATTGAACATAACTCTACATCACAATGTCATAGTGACATGGGGGTGGCTCATTTTACTCAGGCAACCAATCAGTCTCTCAGGATCATTGTGAAAGTATCAAGCCATGCCCTAGCAACCATTTAGAGCACCCTAGCAACTGATCCCATAGACTGCCATTCTATAAAAAGCCCAGATGAATATCTTTGTATCACAGTGTCGTAGAGACATGAGGTTGGATTCGTTTGTTTGGGGGCAGCAAATAGCCATCACTTATTATCTTCACCACTTCCTATTCATGCCCTAGCAACCATTGTCAAGCACCCTAGCGACCCAAACCTAAAGAGGGATATTTTCAAATCTGTATGCCACCGAGACATGGGGTTTGGTTTATATCATTCATACTGGCAAGCAGTCTTTGGAGTATCATCATTGGCAGCTGCCAAGCCACTCCCTAACAACCAAACAGAGTACCCTAGCAACCACTTATAAGACCTATATCTCTGCATCAGAGCATCATATAGACATAGGTCTTGGCACATTTGTCTCGTGCTAGCAAACAGGACTTCCAACATGCTACACATGCTAGCAGTGAATAGATACATGCTAATAGCGATTAGCTAAGTGTTAAAACACTTTAAAAGTCCTAACTGATTGTTAAAACATGATAAAAAAGACAAGTAACTGCATAGTGTCGAGTTTTGCCATGGCAAGCACCACTCACATTTTCTTCAGAAAATGTACATATCAATTTATTCTTCTTCTTCTTCCGTACAAACTCTGTTTATTTAAGCTTTCAAAATTCAAGCTTTTACAACTGCTTCAAACTTTCAGTCAAGGATTTTTCAAGCCAACTTCAAAGTTGCAAACTCATCTAATTTATACCTTTGATGTAAAGCGGAACTTTCAGCAGCCACTACTCCTGTCTCCAATGTCACATGATCCTTCAGAAATCATTATACTATTTTGATTTGCTGCTCAAGAAACATTTCTTATTATTATCAATGTTGAAAATAGAATTAGCGGATTAATGTTTTTGTGGAAAACGTAATACATTTTTTGTATTCTTTTTTTTTAGAATTCTTTGATGAATAGAAAGTTCAAAAGAACAGCATTTATTTGAAATGGATATCTTTTTTAACATTATAAATGTTTTTACTGCCATTGATCTTTCAAAATAATAATAATAATAATAAATAAATAATCTTACTGACCCCAAACATGTGAACAATGGTATATAAATTAAATTATATACAAAAATAAACTGGATCTGAGAACTTCTTTCATACTCTCCTTCTTTCTTTATCTGTTTCTCTCTCTCTGTACAGAAACATACCTTTTAGCCTGCCTGGTTGACTTCTTCTCAAACTGTGACCGATATTCAAGGTAGGAGTTCCAGTGACTATGATTCTATTACACTGTTGCCTTGGACACTGCATACAGCCTTACCACTGATTCATAATCAGTATTATTTACTGTGGGTGAGAACTGTTTAATGCTCATTGCTCCCTATATCAGTTCACCACCTAACACGTTATGTTTTGATAAGAAAATCCTAATACAGCATAAAATGTTTACAACTATGCTATAAAACAGGACATAATCAGATTGTAGTCCGTGGTTCAACTTGGAATCATGTCCGTGCATGCCATAATTTATAATCCATTTACTTTAACTTGCTAATGACTAATCATAGTCCATGTAAAGCAGGTAAAATAAACATTTAAAATTATAACTTTTAAATGGCATGGAAATAATTCTACTCGTGCTCTGAAAAAAAACAAACAAACAAAAACAGCCAGAGTTATTTAGTCTAGATTAAATCTGTTAAAACGTAATAGTCTGTGATTTGTGTTTTGGTATGGATGCATGTCCTCTGAAACACCTGTTGGTCCTTTTAGGGGGAGAGAGCTTTCCTGTTTGGCTCGGACAACCTCAAACAAGGGAAGACTGTCCCATTTAAACATGTCTGACTGTCGATAAAATGTGTCAGAGCTGGAGCTCGGCCTCTTACTCTGCTGTCCTTCTGTTCTTTCTAAACCTTTAGCTGTGAAACGGGCTTTAAGGATGGAGACCTCTTCATGTCCTTCAAGAGCATGTTCCAAGATGTTCGAGACGCTGTAGACTGGGTACATTTTAAGGTAAAAAGGTTCTCTGTTTCTCTTTCTATCAGAGTAATATGCCAAAGTAGCTGTGTACATTAATAGCAGACAGCTATGATTAACTGTGAAATAGTACAGGTAGGTACTGGATTCCTAATTTAAGTGTTTTTGATGAATGTCATAAACTTGTTCTGTTGTTAAAGGCTTTATTTATTTTCTCAGGGAACATTGAAGGAGAAAACAGTGGAAAACCTGGAGAAGTATGTTGTGAAAGATGTAAGTTTTTTTTTTTTTTTAATTTCTGAAGTTACTGTATTTCTCAGAATAACTGTTTTTTTTTTTCTAATTTAAAGGCCAAGTTGCCATTGCTGCTGAGCCGCATGAATGAAGTCGCCAAAGTTTTCTTAGCCACCAACAGTGACTACAAATACACAGATGTTAGTTTACTGATGAAAATGCATACATAAGCTCTGTTTCAGAACCTAGTTAGCTGCATATTGAGAACATGCTTCCTCTAAGGTAACCTCACAAATGAGAGATTTGGATCGCTTTACACTGGCCGATTTACATAAGCTAAAAGCTCAGTACTCTAATAACATGCCACACACAAATGTTGGTTGAAATTTTAATAGACCTTAATCAGGGTATGTGCCATATTGAATTTAGATCATGTAATTTTCACAACTCACAACTTTCAAAACTGTTTTTGTCTACTGAAAGGTTTTTTGGAAAGATTCGATCAGCGGAATAATCGATCTGTTTAACAACCCATTAAACGCACTGTACTTCTGTCCCTCACAGCCTGTTTTCATTCCTGTCAAAAATTAACTACTTTCATTACCCTATTTTAATCTTCATTTCTGTCTTAGCAACTGTTTTTTTTACAACTAGAATATCTCATGCCTGGAAAAGGCTCTCAGCCAATCAGATTTGAGGACCAGAAACTGTTGTGTGTATATTATATACTGTGTATATATATATATATAATTTTTTTTTTCTTGTCTAGAAAACATATTTTTAAAAGTCCCACTTTTAAAAAGGCTGTGAGAGCCCTGGTTCATAAATAAAAATTGTTGAAAAAGTAACAGTTGTTTCTTGGGCGCAAATTGAAATAAGAAATACAGTGTCCACTTACATCTTGATTTTTAGTTTTTAGCAATTTGCTAAATCTTAGGAGGCAGCATAGTTAAGCGATGCTTTTCAAAAGGCTTTGTGTCAAAACTTTGCCTTAAAAAATCCCTCTGTATGCACCTTACTAGGTTTTGAATCAGAGCAATAGACTATTGCACATGCAACTGGTTTGTTTCATTCTTGGACACAGACAAACCATGATCTTTTCGTTTTGATTTGTTTTACAGAAAATTATGACATACTTGTTTGACTTCCCCCATGGCCCAAAGGTATTCACATAGATTTTTAAGCCTGTCCTTAAACCTTTCGAAAGAGTTTCCTGTCATATACAGTATTGTTGCTCATAATAATGTTTTATGTCGTAGCATGGCACTCCACACCGTCCGTGGCAGTCATACTTCGACCTTATCCTAGTGGATGCTCGAAAGCCTTTATTTTTTGGAGAGGGAACTGTTCTAAGACAGGTGGATACGGTGAGTATATCAAACAAAAAGCTCTACTTATTACTAAAACAGAAGCAGAATCTCAAAGTCAGCAGGTGTAGTATTGCACATTCTGGAACATTTTATCCTGCTGAACGTGATCACGAAGAAGGTTAGTCAGCGCTGAGTATTGAGCATTTATAATGAAGTCTGCTGAGCACAATAGAACTAATTAGAGAGGAAAATTCCCTTTCCTGTCTTCCCTTTTACAGATTCGCTTTGCAGTATTAAGGAGCTAAACAGTTCACTGAACAGTCATGCCACTTCTAAGAGAGATATTTTAATGCAAACATCTGTCTGTAACCCCCACAATCCAGTTTAACCACCAACCAACCAACAAAATGCAAAGTTATTTATTTGTGCTGAAATAAAAATACAGTAATAGTAATAAAGTTTATCAGTGTTTCTCAACCTTTTTGACTCATTTAAGACAATATCCAAAGGCCACCCAAGATTTTTCTGGTATTTCTTTCCTTTTTTTCCCCACAACTCCTTCCTGTTTTAGCTTATTTTAAAGCTTGTTTGTCTTATTTTAAGTAATCTTGTGGACCCCTTGGAAGTGTGCTGAGGGGCCCTAGTGAGCCCTGGACCCCTGGTTGTGAACCACTGAAGTACATGGAATGAATATTCAGACAGTCTGGACATCTAAATATTAATCAGTCTGTTCTCTATCACAGATTACAGCGCGGCTGAAAATAGGAACATACACTGGACCTTTACAACATGGCATTGTTTACTCTGGAGGTACATTAAATTCTTGTATTGAGATTATGTTTTACAAATATAATGATTGTCATTTAAATTGTGCTATGATAAACATTTAACATCTCATATTGCTGTTGATTGAACATCAATGCTGAAAGAACGAAGGCATAAAATCACACGACTCTCATGTTAAACAGGGAAAATATTGTAATGAAATAATTGCAGTTTGATTCATTATGTAGCTTTTTTTTCTGGGCATTGAGAATACCATAGATATATTATGTGAAAATGCCACTCATTTCTAAAAAAAATTATGTTTTAATCTCTGCCCAGGTTCTTCTGATATTATTTGTGACCTGCTCGGAGCAAAAGGGAAGGATATTTTGTACATTGGAGATCATATTTTTGGAGATATTCTTAAGTCCAAGAAGCGACAGGGTTGGCGGACGTTCCTGGTGATTCCTGAATTGGCGCATTGTTTACTCTGGAGGTACATTAAATTATTGGATAAAGATGGAAATGACACACACACACACACACACAGTGATGTATCTCCTCAAGTCATTGAAACATAGATCACAAGGACATCTGGTCTACTACAGATGAACAGTTTATCACATGATTTTTCACTGCATGTGTACAGTCACTTAGTTCGGTAATACATTAGTTAACTTCATGAAAGTACTGGTAAAATAAGGTAACTAGGGTTCATGGCTATTACCCAGTTCAGGGTTATTACCCAGTTATTGTAATTACTATAATGCAGACCTGCCAACCTGTACGCATTTTGCGTAGCGGATACGCATTTTGACCTCAAAGTATGCTGGTACGATTTGTCACTCTAAACTACGCAAAAAACCTGCTGACGCCTCTGTCCACGTGCAGTATTCAAAACAAGCAACATCTTAATGTTCTTTTTGAATGTCATCATTCAAAGCATTTCTGTCTTCTTTCATTCAGTTACAGCGATAGCTGGCTGTTTTTGTCCATATTAGGGATTTCCTGGAGCGTCCTGAGTTCTATTTCTTCTATAATGTATATGTGGATTTTCTGTGCGAGGGCGCCCTCAGGGGTCCAGTGTGAATGAAACGCACATTACATGTGTTCATAGCACTAAATAATGGCCAATCCATAAAAATAATACTTCTTT